ACCCAAACCTTGCCTTGTCTCTGAACTAGCGAGGCGAACAGTCGTGGTGGATGCTGAAACCACACCATCACTCGCAGTTCACACTCAGCTGGAAACTCTAAATAGGACCAAAGACAAGAAAGGGGGTTCCCCCACATGTGAACACGACGCCCACTTAGACTTACGGATGGGTTTTTGCTGAGTCCTACTTCTTGGCCACACAAGGAAAGGACATGCACCAGCTTCTCCTTGGTCCTTTTCTGAAACAGAAACACACAGACAGGTGTCAGCAAAGGACTCACACGACGGAAATCTCTTCTGAGCCACTAGCCAGATGTGGCCTTCGATTGTGAACTTGGAATGTGGCCAGTGTGCATGGAGAGTTCGTCTGAAGATTTGGTATTAAGAAAGAAAGAACAAAAGAAAAATATCTCATTCGTGATTCTTCATACTGATTGCATGTTGGAATGATACAGCTTGGGATATCTTAAGTTATTTACCATCTTATTTAAGATGTTGTTGTTAAGTGCCGCCAAGCCAGTTCCAACTCATAGCGCTCTATATAGGCTTCTGAGCCTGTAAATTTTTAAGGGAGAAGGCAGCCTCATTTTTGTCCCTCAGAGTGGCTGATAGGTTTGAACTGCTAACCTTCAGTTAGCAGCCATGTACTTAACCACTGCACCATCAGGGTTCCTGTAACTCGAAGAGTCTTGAATATGGTTTGGCATGAGCCCAGTGGCGTGGATGCTTTGAGGCTGGCTTGGGATGGGGTAAGAAAAGTAGGCGGGTCTGGTAAGCTCGTAGTGATGCTTTAAGCACACACTCAGAGCAGCAGCCAGAGGCCCGCTGTTTACACAGGGCTGCGAGAGTGGGTGCTATCACGTGGAGCAGAGCCATCTGGGTGAGCGGTGGAGAGGCAGGAGGGTTACCCCACAGCGAAGAGGTTTTCAGAGTCTTAAGGTAGAGCCTTAAAGAACAGTGGGGGTGGGGGGGTAGACAGGGACGGGCAACAACGAGTCTGAAGGTCAGCTCAATGCAATAAGCTGTTCAGGGGTACACTGTCGTTGCCATTAAGTGCCATTAAGTGCTGTTGAGCTGATTCCAACACCAACTGGTGGGCTTGAACCCGGGCTTGTCCTACAGCGCCAAATCTCGGAATTCCACGATTCCCCATCTCTGGAAGGGTTGACGTCTAGACAGGCAATGTTGGGATGGGAAACAGAGGAATCACAGATCACAGGGGTGGCTCTGCATTGTTGTTGTGAGTTATCAGACAAGATGAGCTGATGCCTGATCCTGAACAAGAGGATGGGGTGAGGTAGCCCCACGCATGGCAGGAGGAGGCAAGGCCCTGTCCCGCACCACCCCAGGGATCCACTGTGGATTGGACCATTGTGGGGTGATGCATGGGGCTCTCACTGGATGATTTTCAAACCCTGTCTTCTTAGTCCATCTTAGTCGGGAAGCTCTGCTGAAACCAGTTCGGCATCACAGCAACACGCCAGCCTCCAGTGACAGACCACAAACCACGGTGCCCAGGCTGGGAACTGAACCTGGGTCTCCAGCAGAGAAGGTGGGATTCTAACACTGAGCCACCATTGAGCCTCCTCTGGGCTCCATTAGTCCCCTTGAATGCTCTCCTGTGAGTGCTTAACCCCACACCTGAGAGTACTGAGGCCTCTTCCAGCTCACAGGAACGAGGACATTGGAGTTGGAACCAGATGAGGTGGAGGACGTGCTCCGGGTGACAGCCATGGTCCTGGGCTTCCCGTCCCGCCCTGAAGAATTCTGCAGCTCATCGTACCGCCGCCCGATGATGGGTGTCTGGAGGAGAGAGTACAGTGTCTAGTTATCCCCCACATGCTTCTGTGGTACACAGGGCCACTCAACCCAGAGGCACCCAAGAATTGTTTTCACGCTTTCATTTGGGAGAAAGTCTACGCAGCCAAAGATACAGTCCCTCAACAATTTCTACATGTGCAATTCAGGGACAGATACCGGTTACATTCTTCAAGGGGTGCCACAATTCTCACCGACCTTTCCCACGTCCTCCCACCACAGTGACCTTGGATTCGCTGCCCCCTAAGCTTCCCATCGGCCATTTCCAGCTGCCCTTGTCAATTTGATCCTACACAGATCATTCTAGAAAAGAGCACAAAGCTCAGAGCAGATGCCTTCAGGGGAGAGTGTTGGATTATGGTTTAAAGACAGTCTCAGAGCAGTAGCTTCAGGGACTTATTCAGCCTCAGCAGCTCCAAAAGTCTGGATTCCATTAACGATTTTAAATTTGGTTCTGTGTTTTCCCGTTTTGATCAGGGTTCTGCCAGACAATCTTGGGTCAAAATAATGAACTGCTTTTTTTGATTAAACACTGGTCTAGAGAAGTTCAGTCATTTTCCTAACACTCAAATATGCATTCTGATTAACTCTGTGTCTTTAACACATTCCTGCCCTGTATATCAGCAGAAAACAAAGCCAATTCTTATTCAAAACTTGCTATAGAAATGAAACCACTGATAAGCCTTAGAGACAAAATGCTCAGGTCAATTAACCATCTATTTTCAGACGTTTAAGCTTGGAAAGCAGTCCTAGTGTGGTACTGTAGCATAAACACTGGACTGTGGACCACAGGGTTAGCAGTTCAAACCCATCAGCTGTTCGTCAGAAATCCTATACAGGGTCACTATGAGTCGGAACAGACTCAATGGCACTTAACAACAACAACAACATGCTCCACCACATTCATAGTTGTGTTTGTAGGAAAGATAAAAGCTCACATCCAAATATCTTCTTTCAAATTCTTATAAATCTGTGGGATATATAAATACATATATATGTATAGATATAAATACATATATATATTAATACATACATACATATATAAACACACATGCATACACATATAAATACATATATGTATAAACACACATATACACACATATAAATACATATATATATAAACACACACATATATAAATACATACATATATATGTATGTTGTTGTTGTTATGTGCTGCGAAGTCGGTTCCGACTCACAGCAACCCTGTACGGGTTTCCAAGGCTATAAATCTTTACGGGAGCAGGAGGCCTCATCTTTCTTCCATGGAGTAGCTGGTAGTTTTGAACTGCTGACCCTGAGATTAACAGCCTGATTCGTAACCACTATGCTACTAGCGCTCCTTTTATATATGT